CTGTTGTTTAGCTGGCTGCTCATACAGAGTAATCATATGCACATTGCCATTATAATATAATAGTACAAAGTATTTTGACCGGATCCTATGGGCGTCTAAAAGATACATTTATAAAAATCACTCACGATAAATTGGAAACCCTCCAATATGTTTTTTTAAACACCGTGCAACTAATAGGTTGTGCATGGGACAGAAATACGATTTTTTATTGAGCAGCCACTGAAGCATACAACCCGCCAATTTCCCCGTTGATTGAAAACAGTGTGAGGCGGAGACCTAGTAGAAACAAATTCACCCCAATGTCACAAATTCTCTCACTTATTCAGCACCTGGCGAAATTCATAATGTACGAATATTGTAGTGATTCACTTCGCGCGGACGCTCACGCGAGAACGATCACCGCTGCTAACGAGTGTACGTATACTTGCTGCCTAGGCCACTCCTATCTGGCCTATGATATCCTTGTGAATAATTCACAAAACACCTCTCGGTGATTGTCGTCCTCATACACCTTACTTCGTCCACTTCTGAACGAGAATAAAGCACAAACAAAGTAAATACCGGTTGCAGAAGCAGAAATTCGTTTAAGTTTTTTTCTGTCTCCCAGGATTTTGACGGCGCCGAATGTGTTCTTTACAAATAAACTTTATTATTATACCACTTCAGACGCGGCCCACTGGACTGTGATTGCACGCTCGCCCGACAGTCAACTTCCTCCTACTTATTCTCCGCTTCTCCTGAACAGACTAAATTATTCTTTCCACCTGGCGTCTCACATCTTCTCTAGCTACAAAAAACCATGCCTGGAGATCGCAATGGCAAATGTCTAACCTATTTAAAAATAACCCGAAGTAATATTAAAATATCTCAGTTAGACCGACTGGGGAGTTCGTTATTTTTCCCTTGCTGCCTTGTTCTTCATATAAATCTGAGTTACCAACTTCAAATCCAGTATCCTGCTACTGATAGACTTTGCGCTTCTAGCCGTTTGTCTTAAGCTATTTTGATGTAGCTAGTCATGAAGACATGGTTGTACTTAATCCTGCACAGATTACGAAAGAATGGCAGCGACATCATCAGGATTCATCATGATTGTTGTATAACTTCCTTGCTATCTCGTATGAGCTTATGTGATTGCTTTTGTTTCTTTTGAGGATGCTTTAATAGGAATATTTTATGAAGTTCCTTCCAGTTTATCAAGCTATAGTAAAGTAGATGGTTGGTCGAACGCCGGGACTCCTGCAGAAGGCGAATCCCCCGGAATAATAAACAAGTTGATCCAATG